TAAACAATGAAAAAAAAAAAAAAAAAAGGGCAGCACACCGTCTACTCTTTACTACTGCATCTTTACTATGACACGATAATAGAGGAAGAGATCTGTTAGAGATGCATTACACAGGCCAGAAGCAAACTCCACTGCGTTTACTCCTTTAGCCATCTCGGCCAACCTAAATGAAGCATTCAGAAATAGAACACGCAGTCTAAAAATTTCAAGAGCATTAATAGAAGTGGAATGTAGAAACACCCGAAGGACTTTGAGGGTGAGATGCCCTCCATCATGCTGATATCACTCAAAACTGCAGTGAGCCGAGTTTCAGACATCTGCTGAACGTATGGTTTTAATTGCGATTAGAATACCAATGAGCCACAGTGTGGACGAGATGACCACAGGAAAACAAAACAGAGCTTCTCTTCAAACATCTACAATCTGTTCTTTTTCATTTCAGGTCCATGCTTCAGTGGCCCATCGCATGCAGTGAACAACTGACAAGCAAAACAAAATGCTCACTTCTGTATTTGAATACCGAAAGACCAAAATAAAACCCACTATTTCTCAAATTTGCGACTACTACTGCGACTTTATATCTCACATTTGCAAATATTTCTCAAAATCCCAACTTTATGCATAACAGTTGTGACTATTTCACAGTTGAGATTTTATACCTCACAATAGCGACTATTTCTAAAAATCATGACTTTATACTTAACAGTTGAGACTATTTCTCACAATAGAGAATTTATACCCCACAACCAGCACTGTTTCTCAAAATCGTGACTTTATACGTAACAGTTCAAGAATTCCTCAAATCGTCACAATATACTGCACATTTGTGACTGTTCCTTAAAATCATGACTTTATACTTCACAGTTGTTACGATTTCTCACAATTTAGACTTTATACCTAACAACTGCAACTATTTTTCACAACTGCTAAATTATTACTTTTAATTTTTTTATACTCTGTGGCACAAAAATCAACATCCACAAATTGACATCCACACAAAAATCAATAAATAATAAATCTGACAAAATTATATCATAAACATAGGTCAAATTACACAGTCCAGCTAAATAAACTACCAAAACAAATCATGACTTTGTGCCCCACAGTTGCAACTAAACAAATTTATGACATTATACTGCACAATTCTCAATTTCTCAAAATTGCAACTTTAGACCTCACTATTCAGACTTTATACCCCACAATTGCCAGTTTCTTAGAATCGTGACCTTATACCTCACAATTACGACTCTCTCAAAATCACGACTTTATACCCCACAGTTACAATTATTCCTCAAAATTGTTGTAATATACTGTACAACTGTGACTATTTTTCACAATTTGGACTTTATACCTCACAACTGTGCCTTGCTCACATTTGCTAATTTATTACTTTAGATTTATTATTATTATTTATAGGGCTGGGCGATAATTCGATAACGGTAATTATCGCGATATAATTTTCCTCGGTAAAAACGGTATGAATAATTCGATAAATGTTCGATATAATGTTTATGCGCCAAAAGCGGAACGAAACAGCGCGACTCATTTGAATCGCGCCACACGAGCTCACTAGAGCAGATGCGTTTACTCGGTCACGCGAGCACTAAACAGTGCTGTGAGATCCAGTTTGAAGCGCGAATAGAGCGATGAACACAAATTACTCTGTGATTTAAACTAGTTTAAAGCCAAACATGAGAAACACTGTGTGCAACGAGACAGTCAGAAGGCTTTTCAATCTACACGTCGCTATCATTTACCATGGATTTACTGTAACACTCACTGCACCATGGTATTGTGGCAGAAATGTGGGATATTCACCTTAAATTTTATTACAGGAGTAATGATATATAATTGTATGTATTTGTGATTAAGCTATAGCATGTGTGCATTTATACTGAATATTTTTAGACTACTGTTTTTCATACAAATAGGCTACTTAAAAACCATATAGTTATATTTTTACCACAGTATTGAGGTGCTATATGTGTGGTTTTAACTGTGTTTATCATGATTTAAATGTATGCTACTATGGGAGACCAATGCTTAATTAAAAAAATAAATGTCAGAATAAATGTAACCATATAAAACTGAGGTTGCTACAATTTTTACAGATGTTACTGATTTTGATAATGAACAAATATTTACGTCTGCATCCTAACTCAAGCTACTATCAAATGTGCATTTCTAAGAGGCAAAAAAAGTGATATTATTATTATTAATATTATCAGGCAACCCCAAACCTGTTTCTTGATTTGAAACAATATCACATTAGAACATGTAGAAACTAAGAAATTCATTTTTCTATTTAGATATTTATTAATGGTCTGGTTTCTACAACTTTCACTTTGGAGCAAAAATCTGGCTTTAAACTTGAAAGAAATAAAGATTTGACATTTATTGTGATAATTATCGATATCGACTGATATGAAAAAAATTATCGTGATCATTTTTTTGGCCATATCGCCCAGCCCTAATTATTTACTTTGTGGCAAAACTTTCCACATGAAATCAGCAATGAAATCTGACAAAAATGATATCACAAACAACTCAAATTAAAAAAAAAACAGTCCAGCTACTGTATATACACATTCTAGAGTAAATAAACTACCAAAGGCAACTGGCAACGACCCTTCAATTCCAACAGATGCCAAATTGAGCATTAATGATTTCTCTCATTCATTTTTCTGTGAGTGGTTCGTCTCCACCCCCTTATACAGCCTCTGAAATAAACACTCTACTTTCTGGATTTCCTAAAACACTTTCTCAGTGTTACACAAACAATTACAGCCACTGATTAAAGGGTAAATGAAACCGCGAATACATAGGAAATGTTTTTTTTCATTGAGAGTAATTACTTTATGCATCATCTTGATGAGAATTTAAATAATACACATAACCAAACACAGCCTGTCACATCCATTTCCCCGCTGTCCATCTCTGCAGGAAATGATATTTTGCGAGACAGCGTTAACATTTTGGATGCTTCTTTTGGTCACGCCCATCTGCTCAGAGCTTGGCTCAACGGAGTTTGGCATTTGAACAAACAGAGGGTCCACAGCAGAGCCATTAGCATCTGGGAGTTCAATATCCAATCTGGAAATGGGCTTCAATAAACTAGCTTTAGTGGGGCTTTATGCTGCCCCAGAGGGGCCGGTACCAATATGAAAAACCTGGATTCCATTTTGTAACACCATGCAGACCAGATCCCATCCTGAATACAAATCAACTGTACTGCGACAGCGCCGCATCCCCAAAAAAATGACAGCCTGCAGCTGGGTAGAATAGGAGCTAACACAATAGATGGTACCTTTTCATATGAAGAATGAAAGCGAGTCAGTGGCCTACTCTGAACATTCACCTTTATAAATCACTACACTATGTAATCCTCCTCTTCACCTTCCTCTGAGAGTATTCACTGCATTTTGAGAGCAAGGGACATACGGTGACCTAAGAGCTTATTGTAGTCGCTCAGAATAACAATTTCTCACCTGTGAACAGCACACACTGTGTGAACAAAGAAATGGATGCGCAAAAGCAGTTTATGCTGCATTTAACAGTTTTATAGAGAACAAAATTAAACAGTTTTATACAATTTTCTACAGAGCATGTGAGTGAACTTCATGATACTAGGGTGCTTTGGGTGGTTGCCAGAGCACATTTAAACATTCACCAAGGTGTTCTGAATCATATTTAGTGCATTGCTATGAGGTTGCTACAGTGATCTTGGTTTGGTTGGCAGAGCATTGCTAAACAACTGCTAATGTATTCAGAAGCCTCATTCATACAGACAGCGACGCGCAGCAACAAAGCAACATGATCCCATTAATTTTCAGTGGAGAGCTGGCGACTTCCGGCAACACAAGCGACAATGACCGCTGACGACAGAATGTAGGAGTGCGAAGCGGGTCACTCGACGAAGTGACGAAATGTTTCATTTTATGCAAATGAACCACGAATTTCATGAGTGACAACCAATAGAAGTGAAGACTATGTCAGAGGAGCTCACACGTCACCATCACGAGAGCAGCCAAGACAGGACAGAATTTGATTTCAGTTTTATATGATTTTACTGTAACCACAAACATGGATATAAAAAAATTACACGTGGAAAAGAAACTGTCGGCAGTCTTAGCGAGTTTGACTCATACATTGATAGTTCTTTTTGTTAAATATATGATGCAGTGAGCAGTTTAGCACTGCTGCAGTTCATTACAGCTTCCCCTGCATAATGTTGATTATTAGGGACAAGAAAATTGATTATTTGTCAAATTGGAATGACGTTTCAGAAATTTTTGGTAGTATGAGTGAGTTTAATTTGTTGATTGATCGATCGTTAATCTGATTAATGAGCACTGCTGTACTATAAACAACCCAGCAGAATGCTACTTTTAATTTGGCTTTTGTTTTGAAGGCAGTCTTATAGTTTTGTTAGTTAATTCTATAGAAGCATCAAGTCCTTTCTGCCTAAAGCTCACTGGCAGCCTGCAAACAGATGAATTGGCTTTGACCTTTTATGAGATTCTTACCCAGTCTCCTACTTTTTCCACAGCACAATACATTTCCGGCTGTCTGCCTGCTGTCATTGATTTACAGATGAGGAAATCGAAGCATCCCATGCTGTTTGCTCCTAAAGAAGAAACGCTGAGCTTTGTGACACAAACAATGTGCTGCTGACAGAATGGTAATCATTATCTTTAATTGAAGGCTGGCATTAAGGAGAATCTCAAGTTAAGAACCGCATGGAAACAAAATTCAACAGCACACATTGGCATAAACCTCATCTCCATGACTAATCTGTCTTGAATTCTTTCACAATTGTGGATGATTGTGTCCAAGAAAATGCTTTTGTACTTGAGAATGGAAATGTGTAAATTGCTGTCATATCATTGTATACAAATGAGCAGGCAACTTGTTACAATTGTGATACTTTTTTCTTACTGTTAAAGGACAGTTTAGCGAAACTATGATAAATAATAATTGAAAAGTAGGAAATTATATGAAAATAAAGTAATATTATTATTATTATTATTAATAATAATGCAATTTGTATTACTATAAAGAAAAATACTACAACTACTACTACTAATAATAAGAATACTAAGATAGATAGATAGATAGATAGATAGAAAATCTAGTTGCAAAACCATATAATTAGTGCACAAAAACAATAAAAGAAACCCATCTGTTATTGATCCATGGCCTGGAGCTAAACCAAACATGCTGTGCTGCATGACTGCCTCAACCTTGACGGGTTTGGAAGGTGATGTGATGTTTGAGGACAACTTTTGTCATTCATCATTAATGTCTCATCCCACTCTCACTGTCCCCCAGACATGTCTGAAACATTCATCAGCCGCGTTCGGCTCGGACACTAGCCCCTGTGATTACCTGTGGCCCTTGTGCCACTTACAAACTATTCGTGTACACACACAGCAGGCATTACAACCCTGCACCAGGGCAGACGGGCTTCATTCATATGTAATCCTGGCGTGTCACTCTTCACAGGCCCCTGGCACCGAGTATAAATCACACATGCAGAGATGACAGGCCTCCACAAGACACCTTTACAACCAGATCCTGAATTAATGCCCTTCTTCATTTTAACACCAGGGTCTTCGGAAACACTATTAGGCTTCACAGATAATATGGCAGGGAGCAGGTCAATAGCACATTTACACTTTCTCTTCTTCCGTCGACCTCTTCAGATTTATCCTCATCACCCTAGAGATGTTTTTATGGTACTTTTACACATGAGATTCAATAAACTTTCTTCCGCTTTTAAAACCTGTGTTTTTTTTGGTTTTTTTGAAGATGCATGATAAAAGGCCGTTCAGACTTACTGCTCTATGAAGTGTGGAGTCGTTCTGCAAATAATAACTATGATTTTTGTACTGACAGCCGTGTTTGTGACAAAATGTGCAAAAATACTGATAAAAAAATAAATATTACAATATGAATAACATGAATTTTCAGCATCATTACTCCAGTCTTCAGTGTCACATGATTCTTCAGAAATCATTCTAATATGATGACTTGCTGCTCGAGAATAATTTCTTATTATTATCAATGTTGAAAATAGTTGTGCTGCTTAATAATTTTGTGGAAACCGTGGTATTTTTACAGGATTCTTTGATGAATAGAAAGTTCAAATGAACAGAATTTATTCTATTTTTTTGTAATAATGTAAATCTTAAATGCCACTTTTGTTTAATTTCATGCATCATTAAATAAAAGTATGAATATATATAGGTTTATATATGGTCACAAGATATAATAGCACTATATCAGCTATCTGCCAATATCAGAGTTTTTACATTTTTTCATTGTTGTTTTTTTTTTATCAGTATAAGTCAATATCATATTTATACCTTTTTGGCTTATTTATGTCTTGTTTGATTATGTACTGTCATTTAGTGTGTTTTTATTTTTTTAACAAAGTTTGTTTTTTTATAATATTGAAAACTTAACCATTACAGCTTATTTTTATCAGCCAGAATTTTGATATCTGCACAAAAATATTGTATATCATATCACACTGCACGATACTGCCTGAACTTTCGTGAAAGCTAAAATAAAATAATATTATTATAAATATTATATTATTATTATAATATTATACAGTATCAACATCATCAGAAAAGGGTGAAATATCCCTACTCAATGTTCCTTTGTTCAAGAAATCCAATGAAGGGGGCCACACCTGTCCCAGGACCCACCATCACTACAGGAATAGACGGGTCGGCTGGTAAGTGGAAGGTGCTGCTGGGACGAGGCCTGACATGTACCTGGAGGTGACATTTAGATCCAATCAGTTCTAAGCAGTGATGGGATTCGTAAATTGTGTAATCCCACACACAACATCTATTTAACTATAACAAACCCAGTTCCATACATTTTTTAGATAGCATCTAAACCAAAAGCTTTTAAGTTGTTGTTGTTGTTGTTGTTCTATTCTGCTGCAAGGATTAGTCCACTTTCTCCATAGTTCATTTCTGTCCAGCTTTTACCTCAATCAAACAACCCAATTCAGTCCAAATCCTCCCAGCAACTGTGTGCTAATGTGTAATGGCTATAGTGCTAACCTTCGGCAGGGCTGATGTGCCTAGATGCTCTGAAGCCGGTACCGTCCCAAGGGGCCGCAAGATTGAGGAGACGTGATCAGCCAGCCAGCCCGTGCACAACCCCGTCCTCGCCAGATGCTCGGGACGTGCAGGGAACTCCACAACATTGAACACGAAATGAACTTTCCCAGGGTGCTGAAGGCTGGAGCTGAGGAACGAGATAAAAATAAGAGACTAAGTGCTAACAATCCAGAACCAACCCTGAACATGAGCAAGCCGGTGGACCTCATTATCCCTCTCTTAATGGCCTGCCTCTATTGGGCCTTGGGGACCCCTGCTGACCAGACTTTAATATTTCAGAGCCCTAATGTTTCTGTGTATTCTACCAGCATCAGTGTACTAAACATAAGACATTAGTGTAGATGCCAGACCACTTACAAGCCGAGGGAGACAGGCAGAAAACAAATGAAAGTGGCAGGCGGTTCTGAAAGGACATCCTTTGCATCCAGTGTTTGACTTTGATCACAGCAAATGGACCATCATAAAGCAAGAGTAAATGACACACCCAATTCATGTCTGTCTATAATAAACCTCACAACATCAAAGGAGGATAGAGACAGAAATAACAACCTAAATCTGGATATGTCTCTGCTTTAATTTGTGAGGCCAAATATAAAGCGCAGGTGTTTCAAACAAGGTCTCTTACCTGGCAGCAGAATAGGCTCTGGGCTGAAGCTTTGGCAAATGTTCTGTAATGAAGCAGAGGAGAGATCAGAGATGAAGATGGCATTGTGAACTTGAGGCTATTCGACCATGTCTTGAGTTACTCTTTCAGGGCATCCGCCCTCTGGATGTTACCCAACCCTCTTGAGTTGATGAGGGCCAATTTCTCAGAATAGCTCAATTCACAACAAAATGTTCATTGCCTTTTTAGGACAGCCTTAATGTTAAGCAAGTACAGTATATATAATCATGAAAGGTTTAGTAGATTTTCCAAAGGAGAATGTTTTAAGAATGTTAGGAGCCAGACCGAAATATTGGCTAGGCCAATATCAATATATTGAATATTATAATATATCAATATATATATATCAATATATGAATATCAATATTCAATTTTTTATATATACACATCATAATACAAAGTTTGGGATCAAACTTATAGAATAAATAATTCTTATCTATTCTTAGAAAGAATAAATACTTTTATTCAGCAAGCAAGCATAAAATTTATCAAAAAATAAAGTAAAGATATTTATGTTACAAAAAATTGTATTTCAATTAAATTAGAATGATTTCTGAAAGATCATGTTACACTGAAGAATGGAGTAATGGCTTTGTCACCACAGAAATACATTACACATAAAAATATATTAAAATAGAAAACAATTATATACACACACACACAAAAAACTTATAGCTCACTATTACAGATAAGGATTAACTGAAATTTCACCAACTTAAAATATTTGTCTGAAAGTGCCAAAAAGAGAAAAATGTGAACAGAAACGATTTACCATCCAACATCATAATCTTCAACATGCAGAAAAGAGGCATGCATGTGAAATGATACAGGTTTAATTAATTTTGATGTAAATGCAAATGATGATGGATAATATAGACAGAAAAGACTCGATGAAGACTCTGGAAGCATACTGCAGTCAAAACTCACTTTGACTCTGCATTAGAGTTTCCTAGTTGTGCCTTAAATTCCTTAACCACAGAAGAAATCATGCTCTTGGTTATTGACACATTAATAAAGAGGGTTTTCCTGTGCTTACATAGAGGCCCGGAGGGTATTTAATGCAAAAAATAATTTCTCATGTGGGAAGACAGAAAAGCTTCTGCCACCTTTTGATTCCGTTTTCTACTTTTGTAGTGATACTAGTTGTGAAGGAGTAACACATACTGTAATCACAAAAATATTATAATTTATAAAATGTATGTTATTCAAATTTGATTATTAATTTCCAACAAAAGCTTTTTGATTTTGCTTTCATCCAATAATATTTATTTCAGTGCATCACTATCTAAGGACCTTATACTGTACCATTGTATGGCTTCCAATGAAATTCAAGATGTTTTTTCACTTAATATAATGCTCCTTGTTAAAAACACAGAAGTAGTTGTTTCTTAGCTCAAACAAAATGTTTAAAACTCTCCTTCATCTGTCAGCAAATGGCATATAATTTTCTCCAATTCGCTGAAATGATGAATCAATTTGAAATGTTCATTTCAAGCTCACCATATGCGGATGCTGAAGGTCCTCAATATTATCAATTCATTACAATCAAACATTCAATATGGTGAGCAGCTGTTGCAATTACAGCCCCTGGTGAGTGCAAACAAATGCATCATGGTGTTTTGGTGGGAAAACACTGCTCTTTAATGTCGGGAAAGCCTAAAAAAATCAGAAGGGAAACTGTTTAACTGATGACAGTGATGTTCTGCCACAACACACCAGTGCAGAGTGATTTTAGGAATAAAATGAATGTGCTGTCAAACGCTGCTGAACCAGCATCTCTGTCGACTTGTGCCATGCATGGAGAAACATGTGTTAATCCTTAATTTGCCAAAATCGCAGTAATATTCACACAGATTAAAACTTTACATGTACACGCATCCAATGCAAGAATCCACAGGCCACATTCGCATAAATCAGCGAGGGTCACTGCATTATGACTACCTTGCAGTTCTCTATATCTAAAGCATGGTATGCATTAATAATTTTAGCTATACCAGCTGTTCCCCAAAATCAAGGTGATGCATATTTCTCACCTTGATGGAGAATTTATTGCATTTCACAGCAGAGGCTTACTGTACAACATATCCACCAAATATCGCGTGAAGGAATAAATAAGGTTTATTATAACAAAATATCCACTTTATGTTCTCAAGGCTAATTACATTGTACAGTGATTTCTTATTTAGTGTGCAAAACTTATACTACCATTGAAAAGTTTGGGTTGAAGTTTTTTACTTCAGAAAGAATGCATTAAACTGATCACTTATATTGCACCGCGTTTCTGCCACTAAATAAAAATAAAAAAAGGTAATTGCGACTTCTCACAATTCTGACTTTTTTCTTGCAACTGCAAGTTTACATCTCAGAATTCAGACTTTTTTCTCAGAATTGCGTGATATAACCTCGCAATTGTGATTTTTTTTCTCAGAATTGTGCGTTATAAACTCGCAGTTGTAAGAAAATTGCCAGTCTTTTTTCCATCAAAACTGGACTGTATAACTGGCAATTGTGAGTTTTTATCTCACAATTCTCAGAAAGAATGTCAGAATTGTGGGGCATAAACTCATAATTGCGAGGGGAAAAAAAAAAGAGTCAGAATTGCTAGTTTATATATCTATAAGCAATTCTGACTTTATAGGCTAACTCTTTTTTTCTTTTTTTTTCTTTTTTTATGTACGACGGCGTTTTAGTGCCACGTAAATAAAAAAATAAGATTACGAGAATAAAGTCGTAATATTTTGAGAATAAAGTAAAAATTATGAGAATAAAGTCGTAATATTTTGAGAATAAAGTCAATTACGAGAATAAAGTCGCAGCAATTTGAGAATAAAGTCGTAGCAATTACGAGATTAAGTTATAATATTTTGAGAGTAGCCTATAGTCTACATTGTGCATGCAAATAGGCCGGATTGGGAGCACCGGGAGAAATTCCAGTGGCCTGGCAACTGATATGAATATATGTGGGATTATTAGCAGAAATCATACCATGTGCCACATACTCACAGGGACAGTATGCTTGGAAATAATAATTTACGTCTTCGAATGCATTCATTATTTGTAGTGTGTCAGCCAGCCAATAATAGCAATACATTTGTGCTTTTGGTACTTTTATTATAAAACAAAGTCTCAGCTTTCAAATTCTGTCAGTTTTACAAACAATATGTCTAACAATAATGTGTTTTTCGCGCTCTTTAATGTGGCGTGACAGATCGCTGTATTCGCCTCAGTTTAAGTGCCATGTGATCAATCTGTTTTTTCATGCCTTCTGATGTTCCTTCGCGTTTATATCATGTTATAACTTGCAATAAAGAGGAAAAACACATTTATAATTTGTATTTCGTGATAAAACTGACACAATTTGAAAGCTGAGCTGTTATATTAAAAGCAACAAAGCTTATTGCGATTACTGGGTGGCTGCGCGTTACAAATAATGAGTGGATTTGAAGATGTGAAATATTATTTCCAATCATTTATTATACCATGCATAAAACAGCTTGCAAATCACTTAACGTCATTTACCTCAGAAAAGACAACAATAAAACTTACTTACACTTCAACATTTACAATGTTTTATTGCTGTTTTTAATTAAATACATGTGAAGATGTTTTTTTGCAGAGTAGGTGGTAGAATATTCATATACATATATTCAAATCAGTTGCCAGGCCAAAATATTATCATTTTTATCTCGTATTGCTACGACTTCATTCTCGTAATTTTGACTTCATTCTCAAAATATTACGACTTTATTCTCACAATCTTGTTATTATTTTTTTATTTACATGGCACTAAAACACCATCGTAGAAAATAGAATCTAAAAAAAATGTATCACAGTTTAGACAAAAGCCCTGTTGAGTATAAGAGACTTCTTTCAAAACATTTTAAAATGTTACAGACCTCAAACTTTTAGAGAGTACACATTATGTGTAGATTTTTTATATGGTTTGAAAAAGAATATGTGGTTTTTGTGCGAGCAAGATGAGTAAAGAACACTGCTGCAGAAAACGGGCTCAATCTTGTGTCTTTACATAGACATGCACAAATAGAGTGTCATCCAATCAAATTGTTGAACCCAGTAATTACATTGTTTTTTCCCTTAAAAGGAGTCTGAAGACATTTAATGAAATAAATTATGTAGAAAATAGAATCTAAAAAAAATGTATCACAGTTTAGACAAAAGCATTGTTGAGTATAAGAGACTTCTTTCAAAACATTTTAAAATGTTACAGACCTCAAACTTTTAGAGTACACATTATGTGTAGATTTTTTATATGGTTTGAAAAAGAATATGTGGTTTTTGTGCGAGCAAGATGAGTAAAGAACACTGCTGCAGAAAACGGGCTCAATCTTGTGTCTTTACATAGACATGCACAAATAGAGTGTCATCCAATCAAATTGTTGAACCCAGTAATTACATTGTTTTTTCCCTTAAAAGGAGTCTGAAGACATTTAATGAAATAAATTATGAGATATAATCATGATTAATTATCTTAATCAACTGACAACCTTAATTTTTAGTTTATATTTGCTGAATTTATAATCATTCTCCTTGTGTCCACTGATAATGCATTGGCGAGTTTCAAAGTTTAAAATGTATTTATTCAGAGGCTATACTTGCAGTTAAAGAGCAGTTTGCCTTTAAAAGGAAAAAAAGCAAAGCTGTGCCTCTGATCCGATGTTGTTTTACTGCCATCTGGTGGTACAAGCTCTGCAAACGCTTCCAAACATCAGGCACATTTACCATGCAAACTGCATATGCTGATATGAAATGTAGAAAACATCCCCATTCCAGTAAATACCAAGCAGATTATGTGTTTACTGACCAAACAGAAGGCTGAGTGGAGGAAGGCAGGATGGGAAGGCCCGAAGCAGATCAAGCAAACATACATTGGCGTCCCTGACAAAGCTGTTGTAGTCTGCTGAGCCTTCTTTGCTACACAACTCCAAAACCCTTCTTTTTTCTGAACCGTTCTGAGTGAAGTCCGCCAACGCTCGCACAAATGCCTGAAAGCACAAGAGAACAGTGTACAGTGTCTGTCCAGGAACTTCAGACTTCAGCCCTGTGAAAGCTAAATAAATCATCCCCACCTGTACATCAAAAGCACTGTTATAAAGTAAATGTATAAAGTAAGCGCTAGTGCTAAATCAAAGGTTCATAACTTCAACAGCACAGCAACTATCACATTAAATAAGGTTAATAACACAGAATTACTTTTTTTGGAGCGCTCCTTACCTCCAAGCACCCGGTGAGAATAAACTGCAAAGAGCCGTTCTGTGGGATGTGAAGTGGAACTTTTGCTGCTGTAAAATAAAAAAAAAACAGCTATGTATTTATTCAACATTTCTGGTTGTTCAGTCTGAATCCAGTTCTCTGACTTGTGAACAGAATACATTATTTTATCTGTTTTCTAGCACAGCTCGAGGAGAATGTTCCTGGTGTCACTGACTGTGTCAACAACGGCAGTGATTCCCACAGGATCTTGTGAGACTGTAGTGGGTGGTCCCCCCCACTGGTGTTTTGTGAACACCAGCTCCAACCGCTTCTCCGACCGAGTAACATACTGAATTCCGCACTGGCAGTGGCATGCTTTCAGGAGCATGAACGGGTGAAACGGGTAACATACTACTCTGGACTCGCACATGGCCTTGCAGAAATAAACAACTTGTAAATTAAAAGATATACTAGTCAAGGACAAATCTTACATGTTTAGTCAATCTGTAAGGAATATAGATCTGTGGCTATACTCGCGTTATGTGTTGGAGTTATCGCGAGAGTGGAATAAACCATTAATATGTTTCAGTTTAAAAGTTTGTTAGAACGAGGTGGTTTTCTTTGTTTTTTATTCCTAAATAATTGTCTGAAGTGTTTTAAATCATTCTTTAATTAATCACTCAACGTTTATCTAATTTACCCGAAAATGCCGTGGGTGTTATAACATACTCTACTTGGTTTGCTCCGCCCCTCCCCAAGATTCTTCCAGAACTAGCCGGCAGATCCGCGCGGCGAGGTGCACATCTAGAGGATTAAACTCTCTAGTATAAAATCATTTTACGTAGTTGTGCATTTCATTGGGGTGGAGATTAATAATGTCCGCACTCGGGACCCTTGCCTTCGATGAATATGGAAGGCCTTTCATCATCATAAAGGACCAGGACAAGAAATCTCGCTTGACTGGCCTGGAAGCGCTGAAGGTAACTACAAAAGCTAACGGGCTAATGCGCTCTCTGATCTGTCGTCCAGAACGACACAGTCTGTTTCATGTTTTAAATACGTATTTATTACAATATGCTTCTGTAGTCTGACATAGAAAGAATGTCTTCTTTTATTTGCCTAATGTGATCAATAATGCACTTCATGTCAACCAGCGGATGGTCCATGTGCTTCCTCTAGCGGTGTTGAGTCATGATGCGCAGTCAGGGAGACATGAAAAGATTTTTTTTATTTTTTATTCATAAGACAGTTGTAACTGTGCCTTGACTTTATTTTTTTACTAATTAACGTATTGCGTTAACGCTAATTAACGGATTGTTTGTCAAGAATCCTGTCAAGATGTTTGTTGTTTGTGACACGCATATTAAACCTGCACGTTTCAGTCTCACATCATGGCAGCAAAAGCAGTTGCAAACACCCTGAGAACATCACTTGGGCCAAATGGTAAGTGCTCAATTCTGCACGTAGCCTTGCTAGTCCGTTCCTTTCTGTGTTCTTAATGCATATGATTGTTGTTTACAGGACTTGACAAGATGATGGTGGATAAGGATGGTGAGGTGACTGTGACTAATGATGGTGCAACGATCCTCAGCATGATGGATGTGGACCATCAGATTGCCAGGCTCATGGTAGAACTCTCCAAGTCTCAGGATGATGAAATTGGAGATGGAACTACTGGTGTTGTTGGTAAGTTCTCTCCCTGCTTCTTACTAAACATAATAACCAGCTGATTGCACATGGGATGCAGAGTTGCTTTGATAAAAAACTACATTTTCCCCCCTGCATGTTTATTTATTAAAGGGTTAGTTCACCCAAAAATGAAAATTAGCCCATAAATTACTCACCCTCAAGTCATCCTAGGTGTATATGACTTTCTTCTTTCAGACGAATCCAGTCGGAGTTATTTTAAAAATTGTCTTTGATCTTTCTAGCTATTTAATGGCACTCAGCGGGTGTTGCAGTGCATCAGTCCAAAAGAAGTGAATAAGAAGAGTCCATCCTTAATAAAAAGTGCCTCACATGGCTGCGGAGGGTGAACAAAGGCCTCCTGTAGCGAATCAATGCGTTTTTGTAAGAAAAATAACCATATTTAAAACGTAATAATCAATTTAATCTAGCTTGTGCTCACTGTTGTACACAAAAGCATCTCAGGGCGGATGATGTAGGACGTTGGCGTTGCGCATGCGCCGCTCAGAAGTGACGAATGCGGAAGCATTTTTCTTACAAAAACGCATTGATTCGCTACAGGAGGCCTTTGTTCACCCCCCGGAGCCGTGTGAGACACTTTTT